CCTCCTAGGCTTGTTGAAAACTTGAATGGGATGATATATGGAAAGTAATGACCATGGTGTTTGTTCTTATTCTCAGTAGCCCAGATCATGCCATTTAGGCATTGCAATATGATCTTCAATTCACTCCTCAAGAAGTTGGCTAAACCCATGTTTGCTTTGAATGTTTGTGTCCCCCAAAATTCATGTTGAAACTTAATCACCAGTGCAAGTATTAAGAGGTGTGACCTTTAGGAGGTGATTAGGCCACAAGGGATCTACCCTCACGAATGGGATTAGTGCCTTATAAAAGAGTGGGAGGGACTAGCTAAGCCATTCTGCCTGTCTGCCTTCTACCACATGAAGACACAGTGTTTGACTCTTCGGAAGCATGCAGTGTTCAAGGCACCATCTTGGAAGCAGAGATTGGGTCCTCACCACATATCAAACCTGCCAGCACCTTGATCTTGGACATCCCAGCCTCCACGACTATGAGCAATAAATGTATGCTGTTTCTAATTACCCAGTATAAGGTATTTCGTTATAGCAGCACAAATGGACTAAGATGCCAACTGAACTGTAGATTTTGTGGAGAGATCTACCACTCCTATATCCCAGCACTCTAAGCCTGTAAACATTGCAGTCATCACTATGCCTTGAAGTCCAGACCCAAGAAAATAAGACCCAAAGAGAAATCAGGTCCCTGCTCACATTTTCTGTCTAAGGACCCACTTTTCTGGATGATGGATCATGGGAGTGATTGATACTGGTAATGATTTCCTACTTCTAGGCCAGCCCCATCTCCTTCCCACAGGGGAACAGTCTTCCTTTGATCTCAACCAGACAAGCATATCAGAAAACATCTTAATAATTCATCTGAACGATGCATACATAATGTAACTGGCATTAGCAGAGGAAGATGGTTTCCTTACAAGAACCTAAAGGGTTGCTACGTCCCTAGCTCCAAGCACAGCACCTGGAACAAACTAGGTGCTGAGATTCTTGCTAAATGACTATTAAAAGGAAAGCAACTTGCCTTGGTCATGTTTGCCTAGCATCTTTCAAAAAAGCTCTTACTAAACTATTACATACTCTTAAGATGTTTACTTAAATAAGTACAACGTTGAGAAGTGAGCTTCCTTTAAGGAAAAAGAGAAACCAGCTGGATTAAACAGTTTTCACAAACTGGCAAAAAAAAGAGGCAAGACCTTTCTTGAACTCATATACCTCCAAGATAATTCTAGGTGTTTTATCCTTAAATATTTTATCTTTAAGTAGTTGTATGCCTTGTACTAGTCATCCCATATTTCTTTGCTGATTATCCATTCCTTCCTACCTGCCCACCAGCCCTGTGCTCTACACGGCTATTATCTTCATATTTAACCCTCTTATTTTACTTGGCTTTTTACTGTCCACTCCCTTGAGTCCCCTGGGGGCCGGCATGGAACAGAGGAGAGAGCAATGGATTAGGGGAGGGCAGAATTCAAACAGAGAATCAGACCTATGCTCTCTGCATGGCCAAGACATTTACCTTGACCTTCCTGAGCCTCATTTTCTTCACCTGTCAACTAGGGGTAGCATCTCTTATTTCATATCATCATGAGGAGTGGAAGAAAATGTATGCAAAGTGTGTAGCTTGTTCTACAATAGACTCTCAATAAATTTAACTTCCTCTTTCCTTCTCTCCCTTTTTCAAAGTAGTCAGGATATAAATTTTACATAAATAAATTACACGTTATACTGGAAATCCTCAGAAATGATTCATGTAACCAATAATAATTTTAATAGTAATAATAGGTTACTCTAACAACACCATCCCAGCTCTGACAATCAATCTACCTACTTCGGCTTTGTCATCATATAACATATAGTGCTCAAAGTTTACCCTAGAACGAGGTGAATACACATGATTTCCTATTTTCAGATATTTTCTAAATGCTCCTTTTTTACATCAGGGTATTCTGCTACAGATCATTACTTACGGTGCAAACTGTAAGTAACATGTCTGCCAAGAAATGAAAAAGACTGAGACGTGATGGGAAACACTGAAAACCTTCAAGCAGTCTCTGAGACTAAAAGTAAGATTTGCAAACATCAAGAATGTGCTGAAAATACTGATTTCTGCTGCTCAGTACCCTGAAGAATGGCTGGCACCTTGTTGGAGAATGTGGCACATCGTCCACAGTACCCAGAAGAACAAACGGTAGCTAGGCGCTTGGAAGACCAGAACTGTCTAGAAGATTTAGAGCCTAACTTCTGCCTAAGGATCCACTAAGCTTTGTTACAGACTACTTTTAAATTGAATTTGGAAAAATTTGCTTCAAAGAACCCTTCAGACTCTCAGCTGCTGTGCATTTATTATTCTGTGTTTCTCTAAGATTTTAACAGAAGCGAATAGGGTAGTTATGAGCGCAGGCACTGGAGCCAGACCGCCTGGGTTGGAATTCTTCTGTTCCACTTGCTAATCGTGTTACCCCGAAGAGGTGATTTAACTTGAACGTGCCTCAGTTTCCTCAGCTGGAAAATGAGGATCATAATAACAGCTAAATAAGATGGTGTTTGCAAGGTCTGGGACACTGTTCTCGGCAGGCAGTAGACCCTGGGTCAGTCATTTATTTGTCCATGATTGAGTGGAACTCACAGGAAAATTCACGCTTGCCTAAAGCTAGCAGCATCTTGTGTATAGTAGTATCATCTCATACTTATTTATTAAATTGAATTATTTATACCTAAGGTGTACTGAGATCTGGTTAAACTTAGGTAGGCCCCAAATTTCACATCCAGAACTCTCCCCACAATGTCTATACTTTGTCCCTACCATTTCTGCCTCCATCAGCCAGTGTAAGCATGTAGGATTCTCCTTATATCAAGCTGGATGCAAGGACCTGCTACTTCATTTGTACATCCAAGTGCAGCAGAGGCATGTTGACACTGACAGAGCCACAAATGATTGAGGAGGAGAGGGGAGAGAAAGAAGGAAGAAGGAAGAAAGAAACTGACATTTTTGATGCGTACTTAGTGCTAGCACTGCACCAGGAGATTTCATATGACCATCAGTTCTTAGGCCAACACTGCCAGCCCTCTTATTTAGTTTTACAAATGAGGAACATAGATCTCAGAAAGGTTTGTTGACTTTCCCAAAGCCAGCCTCTAGTTGAGAAACTGAATGTAGGACCTAGAAGATTATAAGGTAGATAACAGGCTCCTATGCCATTCCAGAGTCATAGTTCTTAAGCCTACTGACAAAACAGTCCCCAACCCTAACAGCTACCAATGATAAGTGCCTACTACATCCTAGGACCTACCACTGTAACTTGACCTGAACCCAACCAAAATGCACAGACCTCCCAGCCCTTCCTGGTCCAGGGAGATGAGAGCCCTGCTCTGCCACTGTAGGCTGCCTGAAGCCACTAAGGGGCGCCCTTGCACTAGGAGCAAACGGAATTTGACAGCGTGATTAGTGTCAGCTGGGGCTGGGGGAGAGCTGCCTCCATGTTATTATTCACAAGTGTATACGAAGATGTGAGTGAGAACCAGAGTGCTGAGGGAAAGTTACAGGTGACCTCTGGCTGGTGCCCCATTTAGCTTTGAGGAGTGGGCTCCCAATCTCACTGCAAGCTGAGTTTACATAGCAGTGTTGAGAAAATTGAGTCAAGAAGCCAATGTAGTGGGGTATGCTGAGCATTTATTTAGTTAAATGGCACCTCATGACTCAGAATGAAATAGAAATATCAGCCTGATCACACATAGTGAGAGTGTTTGTTGCTTCGAGAAGTTTTTATTTTAGGGTGTGTATGTGTGATGCGTTACAATCCTACTACATATCCTACTGTGAGTCATTAATTAATAACGTTTAAAATACACTGACCTCAAAAGTTTGCATAAAATCCATATTCCCCGACCCTAGACCAGAACCAGTGAGTCAGTGTCTCATTTGGGCCTTGAAGCCTGTATTTTTGATAGGTGCCCGGGCAGCTCTGATGATCAGCCAGGCTTGGGAATCACCTGTTAGAGGAAATGAGCGTGCAGGTGGGGTTTTTCCACCTGCCTTCCACCTCCTCTCCAATGGTCAGGGCAGGAGAAACTTTTCACTTCAAGAACTTGACCCTAGCAAAGCAAGAAAAGTCACACAGGCTGCACATAAAATGGGACACGGGCCACCTGCCCTGCCCGTCCCCAACCCCCAGGACAGCTACAAGCCCCCAAGAACTGGGAACTGGGTTTCCAGCACCAGCTCTGTCAGAAAAACAAACAAAAACCCAGAGAAACAGAATCACTTCAGAGGCAGCCAGATCTGTGCTCAAATCCTGATTCTTCTACTGACTACCTAAGTGACCATGAGCAGGTTATACCATCTCTCTGAGCCTCAGTTTCTTCACTTTTTAGAATGGGAATAATAGCAATTGGCAGGGCTCTTGTAGGAGTATAAGCATAGTAATAAAATGCCTAGATGGTACCTGGCCAAAAACATGTGCTCCATATATTAGTCCCCTCTCTGGCCTCCCCTAAATCCCCCTGTGAGCTTAGACGCTTCTGTCCCCTTTGGGCTTTGTTTCCCTGGTCGTGAGAAAGCGTTTTCCGAAGCTAAGTCGCCATCCGCACGGGCGGAGTTGGACGCAGGCTGTCACTGATGGAGATGACACTGCCCAGCCTGAGCGTTCTGTCCTAACAGGAGACAGGCCGTCCGCATTCCTCAGCAACCCCGCGGGCCTCGGGGGGCGCAGAGTGAGAGCCCCTGGGGAGCGGGCGACTGTCAGACCAGTCCGGGGGGAGAGTGGGAAGAGCTTGCTGGGACGGGCTGGGGTCGGGGTCTGCGGACCGAGCGCGCCGCTGCCCCCACCGCAGGTTCCCGGCCAAGCTCTGAGGATGGAGGCCGGTCCCTCCCCGGGCGGGGGAGGAGCCAAAGCCCAGGTGGGGCAGGTGGGGCAGGTGCGGAGCTCAGGTGTGTCCCGGGCCGGCCGCGGGAGGCGACTGCTCCGGGGCGCGCAGAGGCGGAGTAAAGCGCGCTGCGGGGCCCAGGACCCAGCTCTGGGAAGCCGGGTTTGTCTCCCGGCCTCTGCCCGGAGGAAAGCAATGGCAGGGGTAAGGAGTGTCGGTTTGGATGTCGCTTTCTGTGTGTCCTTTCTTGCCGGGTCTAGCTCCTCCCAAACAGGAGCCCCACGGAACGGCCACCGGTGCGTCCTGCCTCCCGGACAGGAATACACGTGCCCAGTACCGGCGCGGTTCAGCCCTCAGGGGCCTTGCTCGGGGCAGGTGGCCGTGAGCGGGGTGTGCCCTGTGCCGCCTCCCAGCCTCAGGGGACAAGAGGCTTAGAACGATGGCGCGAGGGCTCCCAGCTCCAAGCAGCCAGCTGGACTTGTCACCCACCCCCAGCCCCGATCAAGGCCGGTGGGCTCCTCCCTGTGTTTACTTGCCCTCTGGAGGGGGTCCAGCCTCCGTGGGGATGAGTGGGCTTCCTGGTCGGAAGGCAGGGCTTGGAGGCTACACGGTGCTCTTCTGTGGCTCGTGGCTTTAGATAGGGCTCTGCTCCGTACTAACTGCGCGGCCTGGGCCAAGCGTGTTCTCCACCTGAGCCCCCGGTTCCTCACTTCTAAAATAGGATTACTACTAGAATAATTAGTTTGTGAGATTATTGGAGGGGTTTGAAAAAATAGGAATGACCTATAGAGAAGTCCCCAGCACCAAGCCAGGTGGCATTTCCTTTTCTTTGGGTGACTGAGTGTTGTTTGCATAGTTGGAGATTTCTCTGCCTGGCTGACCACATCTTGCTTTTTCCTTCTCCAATTCTCCACTTTCCTCTATCTCCTCTTCAATAAGAAGACGTGTGTTTTGCTCGGTATCTCCTTCATTATACGTTTGGAGTCACGTCAGTTTCTCCTGTGCATTATGTGGCTTCCCACCCAGGTGTCTGGTTTTAAATCAGGACAGAAGTCCCATTTCAGCTGTTGCTAGTCAGGAAAAGCTTCCCTTTGTCCCAGGGGATAGGACATGTCTCTGTGGCAGATCACTCCAGTCCCAACAGCTGAGTTTTTGGAAAGGGCGGGCAGGGCCACTATGGTACAGCTTCCATCTCTCCTCCTCCGAATTATAACCACCCCCCAACCTCCACACACACCCCGCGATGTTTAACGACTTTTGAGAAACTCCTTGATTGGAAAAGTGTCAGGCTGAATAGATTTGGTGTGGTCGTAAGGAAAGGAAACCGAGTTACAGTTTGCTGTCTCTGACAGGCCAGGATCTGCGCTGGCCTCTGGTATTTCAGTTGATCTGCGTGACAACACAGCGAGGTTGATGACATTTGCCCCATGTTTTATTAGTGAGGAAACCAACGGTCAGGATGTTCTCACTTGCTCAGTATCACAGAGCTGGGACACGAGCCCAGATTTGTCAATAACAACTACTGAGTGCCAACTGCAAGCCAGGCATGGCTAGCAAGTATTACAACAGGAGAACAGGTATGATTTAGGCAATTTAGACAAGAATGTACAAAAGGGCATGTTTGTTAGTTAGTAACAGATTTATGGGATAAGCTAATATGATTTCACAACTTACTGCTCAAAGAGAGGGAAAAAAGATCAAAAGAGAAATATGGGTGGTTTCTTAAAGGGAAGATTTTATTTTAAAAAAAATCAACAAAATATTCATTTATTCAATATGAGGGTACTTCAAAAAGCTCACAAAAAGATTTGTATTCTCTTTTAATTCTATTTTTCCATGAACTTTTCGAAGTTCTTTTGTATAGTTGTTGAGCACCTGTCTTGTGTGGTCAGGTCCTGTTTTAGGTGCTGCAGATGCAGCAGTGAGCCAAACAGACAAAAATGCCTGTCTTCATAAAACTTTTATTAAAGCAGGAGAAGACAAACTATATACACACACACACACGTGTGTGTGTGTGTGTGAGAGAGAGAGAGAGAGAGAAATGGCAGTAAATGCAATGTAGATACACAAGGCATGGAAAGCTTTAAGGATGGTTAGGCAGCAAGACAGGCCGCTGTTTTAAATGGGATAGTTTCAAGAAAGTTGTCAATGTAAAATGGCATTTGAGCAGAGACCTGAAGGAAGTAAAGGAATTGATTATGTGAATATCTTCGGGAAGAAGATTCTATAGAGAGAGAACAGCAGATGCAAAGGCCCTGAAGCAGAAGCTTGCCCAGTGTGCTCAAGGAATAGCAAAATGGCCAGAATGGCTGGAGCAGAGGAAGCAAAGAGAGTGGTGAGAGGTAGTGGGGTCAGGCCACGTAGGGCCCTGGAAGCCATTGTAGAAACTTGTGATTTTCCCTTGAGTGAGGTGGAGAGCCTCATGAGTGCTGTGAGCAACTCAAAGACAGGATTCAGCTTGCATTTTACAAGGATTGTCAAGTTACTGTTTTGAAAATTGATGATAGGGAGAGCAAGAGCAGAAGCTGGCTGACCAGGAAGAGGCTCTTGTAGTAATCCAAGCAAGCAGGGTTAGTGGCTCCACCCAGTCTTAAAAGTGAAGGTGGCTAGCAGTGGTCAGGTTTTGGATATATATTAAAGGTAGAGTCAACAGGATTCACTGATGGATTGGACAGAAAAAAAAATGTAAGTGAAAATGAGATTGTTGATGACTCCAAGATGTGAAGCCTGAACATCTAGAAGAATGGAGTAAATGTTTACTGAGATGACTTAATACAGAGCAGGTTTGGAAGGTGATTGGGAATCAGTTTTAGACACAGTATGTCTGAGGGGCTGAGTAGGCACTTGCATGTTCTGGTTTAGAGTTCCTGAGAGAGGCCCAGGCAGGAGGTATAATCAAGATAATCTACATTATCTAGGATAGTGTTGGGTACAGGTGTTTGGTATACATTATTGTGGTGGTTTTAAAACTTGGCCTCCCATTCTCTGGAATTCTTCTCATCAAGAGATGGGATCTGTTTTCCCTTCCCTTGAATCCGAGCAAAAGTGTGACTGTTTTGACCAATACGGTATGGCACATGTGACACTATGTGACTTCAGAGACTGTGTCATAAAAGGCCATGCTGTTTCCACCTCGTTTATAAGAACACTTACTCTTGCAGCCTGGAGCCCCCATGTAAGCAGTTTATACCCCAAGACTTTAGTGCTGGACATACCTCATGTAGACACTCTGGTTGACAGTTCCAGCTAAGCCTTGCCTTCTAGTCATTCCCACAAGGCTAAGCTCAGGACCTTCCAGACCAGCCCATCCACCAGTAAGATGCCACTGAGTGACTTTCATCAACACCCTGTGGAACAGAAGAATCACCCAACTGAGCCTTGCCCAAATTCCTGCCCCCACAGAATTGTGAGATATGGAAAAATATTTCTTGTTTTAGGCCACTCAGTTTTAGGATCATTTGTTTTGCATCAATAGATATCAGAACAATTCAATATCTTTCATTCTTTCTAGTTATAAAAAAAAGTTATTCTCCCCTATAGAAATTCAAGGGAATTCTATAAAATTGTTTTATTATATAGGTTAGACACCCAAACAGAGAGACTGATAAGTCTTTATCAGAGAGTGAAGTTATAGCCCTGTGCATGCCTCAGCCAAGTAAGTTTTCACTTAGTCACACAGTCTTGGTAAGAGAGAACTGTAGCATTTGGGGGCTGGGAGAGCTGATCAGTCAGGGAGCTTACAAAATGGTGCTTGAATTTTTGACAAATGAGCGTTGGAGTTGTCATTGAACTATTAGCTTACCTCTGCCTGTTATTAGTCTAGTGATTTGAGCAAGTCATGGAATTATAAAGTGTAGGAGTTGGGAGATTTCTCAAAGACCAACCATTCTAAGAACTACCATTTTACAGGGAAATTTGGGGCCCAGAGGCAGAAAATGGCAGCACACTTTTTATATGTTTTCCCATGTCTCACATATAGAGGATGCTCCATAAATGCTATTGTTCATTTTGAGAATAAACTCTGAGTCAGGAGGTCTGATCACCAGACCCTGCTCTCTCATTACTTGATAGATGTTTACCAAGCATCTTCTACAGGTCAGGCCCTATCTTAGAATTTCTGACAAGGGGCCCATCTGAGATGCCATCCAGTTGCTCAGCTTTGCAGGGGAGATTGTCAAGAAAACAAACAATTTTAATATTAAATGGAAAGTAGAATGATGAAGAGAGGCACGAGCTTCCATGGGAGCACCGAGGTGGGTGCCTGAGCCAGGGTGGGGTTTATCCCGGGCTCATTAGAGGAACTGGTATTGGAGCTGACTGTCAGAGGAGTAAGTAGTATTGCATCAGGGAAAGAGGGAAGGAGGGAGAAGGAGGCACAGGGGACAGCTAGACAACAGCAGAGTGAGCAATACAGTGGCATGAGAGTTAGGGGACACTCCTTCAGTTAGGTATTACTGGAGCAGAAAGGTAAAAAATGGAGTAGCCAGAATAGAATCCCAAGAAGTAAATAGAGGTCAGATATTGAAAGGCCCTCAGTGCCATACGTAATTTGTCCTGTAAGCCATGGAGCCACTGAAGGGCTTCACCTTCCAAAATGGGAGGTTGAACTAATATCCCCTGAAGTCTTGTTATGCTCTGATCATCTAGGATTGTAAGATTTTCCTAAGTTCATATATGACTTCCTTTTGGCAGAACGCAGGTCTGAATGCTTGTGAAATACCATTTAGCAAGGCTTCAAAGGGCAATTTCAGAGGATTTTTCCTAAATAATCTGACTTTTTGGCAATACTTCACAAGATGTAGGGTAACATCTGCAAAAGTGGACCTGCCAGCTGAGGAGCGTCTATACTGTAAAGGTGGTCTGCTGTTAGCAAGCTGTTCTTGGGAGAGTGAAGTGTGCTGGGGATTAAGATCAGATCATCAGAAGTGAGGTTCAGGAGAGTTTCTTAGAAGGGAAAAAGAAGATTACCCAAGTCCAAAAGACTGGCCCCATCACGTCCACCTCTGCTGAGAAGCTGCACTACAGAGTCCTCTTGGATTGTGATGTTTAGTCCTTGACGGTGAAACATTAAGTGGCCTGCACTACTGCAGGGCCACCATCCATGCCAGCCAGTCTTTTGCCACAACACTGACTCTAGCATTTAGACCATCATTAATTTCCCATGAAGTCAGGTTTCCCCTTCTCCCAACCAGCCACTCATATTT